ACCGGGCAGAAATGAGGGCTGGGGGAAGGATGAGAATGAGACTAGATCTAGAGATCATCGAATCATAGAATAGAATCACAGAATCATTTAGGTTGGAAAAGACCTTTAAGATCATCAAGCCCAACCGTTCCCCTAACCCTGCCATCCCACCACTAAACCCTGGCCCTAAGCACCTCGTCTGCCCAGCTTTTAAATCCCTCCCTTCCCTGGGCAGCCCCTTCCAGTGCTTGACAACTCTTTCAGTAAACAAATTTTTCCTATTGTCCAATCTAAACCTGCCCTGGCACAACTTGAGGCCGTTTCCCCTCGTCTCATCGCCCATTCCCTGGGAGCAGAGACCAACACCCACCCCACTACAAACCCCTGTCAGGCAGTTGTAGGGAGCGATAAGGTCTCCCCAGTATATCTAAGTCCTAAACAGGCTGTTACATCTTCCACCCAATATGCATTCATGTGTTAGATAATTAATAAATATACACAAAAGAAGCTCTTACGAAAGTATTTAATGCCCTAACGATCACCTTTTACCTCCTGGGCTGAACTTGTCATTTAGCCTGCAAGACAAGCTCAAGTTGAAACCTGTAAGATAATTTTTACCATGTGGATACTTAATTGCAGAAGAACATGCAATTATTACCAGCACCGAAGAATGGAAAACAAGCACGTAGTATGTATTTAATGCAATGTAAGCATTCAAATGGAAAATAAGCAAAACTACCCAATATCTGAAAAGCTAAAAATTATACAAAAAATGTTACAGGAAAGCTTGATTTAAGATTCCAGCAGTACATATTTAATGCACTGAAAGGCCTCTGAGAGGCTCTGCACTCTATAAGGGCTTGCATACCACTGGAAATTTACCAAAATAGCTATTTTCAAGTAATTATGAGAATGCTAATCCACAATTAAAATGCTTTCTAATGGGACTTGCAATAAAAATGTAATTGGTGATTATGGAACGCCAAGATGAGGTTGTTTGTGCAGACAGCAATTTTCGTGCTATGAGCAGCAGCATAGGCAAATACAATTTTCAAATGAAACCAGGAGATTCAGACAGCGGCAGCCAGATACCAGCTTTAGGGTAAGAGCAGCCAAGAAGTGTCACAACATTACAGCTACTATGGAAATACACAGAACAGTGACTTTATTCAATTTTCACGCATAGGAGCTGATGAAACTTAGAGGGCCAGCCTAAAGGTCTGACCTTTACCTAAGTCAGGTAAAACAACAGGTTTTTTTTTAAATGAGGTTGCAAACATGGAGAGTAACATTCCTAAATTCTATCTAATATATGTAAGAAACCCCCACTCATCAACACATACAAATATCTTAAGGGTGGGTGTCACGAGGACGGAGCCAGACTCTTTGCAGTGGTGCCAAGGGGCAATGGGCACAAACTGAAACAGAAGAGGTTCCAGTTGAATATGAGGAAAAACTTCTTGACTGTGAGGGTGCCCGAGCCCTGGCCCAGGCTGCCCAGGGGGCTGTGGAGTCTCCTTCTCTGGAGATATTCAAAGCCCGCCTGGACGCTGTCCTGTGCCCCCTGCTCTGGGTGAGCCTGCTTGAGCAGGGGGGTTAGACTGGATGATCTCCTGAGGTCCCTTCCAACCCCTGCCATCCTGGGATTCTGTGATTCTGTGATAATCTAGAAGAGCAAGTTCAGCAAAATCAGAGATTAGGCTTCAGTGGAAAAAATATTCCAATTGTCAGTATGAAAGGATATGCAGTAAAATTAAAAGGATATCCCCAGATTATTTTTTTAAAAGTTAACATTGTACCTTCTCCGAAACCTAGTAATGCCAGAATACTGCATCTGATGGCAAATAAAAAACCCCTCCAATTCTGCCATAAATACACTGGAATACAGAATATTCTTCCTTAAACGAGCATCCCTGTGCTACCAAAGCAACTCACAGCACATTATTCTGTTCACGTTGTTCAGCTGAATCACTGTTCCAGCCTGGAGGAGGTACTGTCTCTTCCCAGACGACTCCTGCAGCTCCTATCAGCGCTGACAGGAGCAGCTTGTGGTACCAGCTGCCATGCTGCATTTAGCTAATAAATGTGTTTAACTACACCGAGAAGAAACAAAATCCTGTCACATCTACCAAAGACCTGTTCACTCAAGCATCCATAAAACGCACCTTTTCCATTTACCTACTCGCAGAACACCTTGCGACCGCAGCATCTAACCATGTCAATGATTAGATTGAACTCCATTCCTTAATGAAATTAGCACATATCGTTTTAAATTACCCTGGAAGCAGAGTTCTGCTTTCACCTCTGTAACCAACAGGATCTGCCTAATGATGCAGATGCATCGCATGAGCTGCACCAATTTCTTCTCGAGGTGGTAACGTGAGGACAGAGCACATCAAACGAGCTCTCACCAGCCTAGGTTACAGACAGAGTATTCTGCGTCCGGGTTATAAGCTGTATATTTGCACTTTTCTTTCTTTCAGGACCACTTGTTCAAGTGAGGTTTCAGCTTTGAACTCAAGTGTTGCTCTCACACAGGTTGAAATAAATACAAAAGCTTTATCCCAGGGTAGATTGAACACCTGAAGAAGCAACAATAACTGTACGTGGCAAAGACAAAATGCACATGACCTTTTTTTGTGGATGGTGGAAAGGGAAGGCACCTGAACAAGTATTCCCTTCTGGAGATCCCAGAGTGCCTCCAAGCACTGTACCAAAAAAATGTAAGGTGTCATGGAGGTTGCCTCGTCCAACCTGCCTCATCTCCGCTCTCTCCCCAGAGTCCACGGAGAGGACTGGTGGCTCTGTAGAGGAATGCGTCCTGCAAGATGTCCTGGGGCCTAAACCAAAAGCAATTTCCTATTTCTGAAGGAAAACACACAACCCCTACCCCAGGGTTCCACACCAGCATGTGCATATCACAAGTGACATCCCAGTCCTTCAACGCTGCACGCAGCCCAAGACAAGGATGAGCGCTGAGGGCTGACAGTGCCTTCTACATCTGCTGGTGGTACCCAGATGTTCATGAGGGAAGAAAGGAGTGGTGACACTGATGGGCAGACCTATGGCTTAAATTACAGATTTAGCATGGCCGCGACTACAGGTTTCCTACTAAAGAACGTGCGTTTAAAAGGATAAAAACCACTGAGGTCTTTTCTCCTTAGCTTCTACTTTGAAGTGTGAAGGGTCAAAAAATGTTTCTCCTTATCTGTTTTATCCTTTTTCAAGAGGCAACATTTGACTTCCTGTGTTCTTCATGCAAAAGAACGTTAAAAAAAAAAAAACAAAACCCACACAGATATCATGGATGCAAGTGCTAACAGAAAGTGCTAGTACGGCTTGTGAGAGCTGCCATTGTGCTGGCCTGGCAGACGTTTCTTCTAAAATCTCTTCCTAGAACATATGGGATCTTCCTCACTGGTATGTTTTAAGCTATTAAAAAAAAAAAAAAAGAAAAAAAAAAAGAGAGAGACTTCAATCTAAAACGATGCTTTCATTTGCAGATTTTGTACAGAATACACAATTTATGCCAATAATTAGCATTTTAAAAGGCTATTCAATACTGCCTGATAGTTGTTGAGGAGATGATCGAGATTTACTGAAGCACAAAAAGTCTTGTTTCTCTTTTAGATGAAAGACTTCACACAATAGGCTGCCAGTTAAAGCAGGACTTCTTATGGAATGAACACCTATGCACTGTATCCTGAGCTGCAGTTAACCCACCCATACAATCCCTGTACGTATAATTCAATGCAAAAGGGGGTAAGGAGAAAGAGAAAAGCAGAAAACCTTAATGATTCCAAGGCGGAAGTTTTATTTCTCGTCGCTGATAAAACAGCAATGTCTATCTAGGGTGTTTGCATTTCCACCCTAATTGCCTCCTATAAAAATTTTAAGTTTTTATGTCTGTTTTGGTGACTATTTTCAGCTTTTTATCAAGGGCTGAGGACACTAGAGTGGAACGACGAGCAGAATGAACACAGGAGCCTGCTGCCATGATGGTACACACCACAGCGACGGCACATAAGCACTGACCTACATTGCCATCCGGGATTGAAAGGCAGGTTCACGAAGCTCTTACCACAAAATCAGCAACCCCAGCTCTATGCACACTTGCACAGGAGTCGCTGGGTATGTCACCATTTCTGTCAACTTTGATGGAACGTGGAACTATTTGGGACACATATACTAAACCATCTGCGCAATACAGATCTGCAATTAACACTTTTTTAGCCTCTTCTGTCAGCTAATGAAGCATTCCTTAACACCACCTTGTCCGCCCAACGCTGTCACCACAACTTTACAATTTCTTCTAATACTCAAAAATCTTTTAAACTACAGCTTTCTCAACAGCTCAGGAGTTTCTCTTCCCATTCACCAGCACCCTAATTGGCTTCCTGAGCCAGCTCAGATGTCAAACCACGAGCCATTTGCAAACCAGTCCTCGCAAAAGACATTCAATGAAAAGATCCCGTAAGCTTTCAGCCATGTTTTACTTTTTATCAGGCATCTATGCCCAGGGCTCGATGAGCAGGCTCACAGCAACAGCTTCCAACTGGATGAAGTAATTCTGTCCTGTTAGGAATGCCAACATCCCCGCTAGCGCCCTCTTTCTCCTCTCTTACCGGTATGCACTTCACTCTTCCATTATCCTGAAAACCAGCAGGAGCAATGGAGATTCCCCTTGATTTCGACCAAATGAAAATCTCTCCCTGCTCAGCAAAGTCACTGACCACAGGTCCTAGAAACTCATGGGCCAGTCCCCTCAAAGTCGCAAGTGTTGGTCATGAAAACAGAATATATCGTTGCTCTTCTTGCTGGTAGCTCCTCCCACTAAGGCCATACATCCAAATTAACATAGAAAGCAGTGTATGCACAATATAAAGCCTAATGACTCGGGAGAAGAGGAGGAGGAGGAAACAGGAAAAGATACAGCTTAAACCGAAGGGTCTGCTGTCATTTATAATGTCAGCCTTATATTCAGGCTAGAGGTGGTACTGCAAATATTACAAAGCACTCACATCGCTGTATTTTTGATGATCCTTCCTTGGTCCATTTTCTGCCCAATACCATGCACAACAAACACAATGTGACTAGTTTGTGGTGGCTTGTCTTCTAATGTGGCTTCTTCTACATAGCCTCTATGTAGCCTTGTCCCACTACTTGAAGCTGTAGAAAAAACATTATCCTAGATCAGTTACATTCTACGAAGTGCAACGGTCTTACATGTTGACAGAAGCTTGACTTGTCTCAGTCCAATACATTACAGTATTTTGAAAGTAAGATATATGTAAAGGAATAGCATGTATTTTTAAATAGCTGCAATTTTAAACTCCCGAGAGATTTGAGCAACTGCATGATATTAATTGTATCAGTCAATGCATTTCTATGCCATTTCCACTGTATAGACAACTAAGTTCAGAGATGTTTTGAAAAACGACTTTTTAAAAAACAGTTGTATAATTATCCATCCACTTTTACAACATAATACCCTTCTGTGTGTCCCCCTCATTAAAATTCCTTACATCATGGAAGGATCATGGAAATGATCTGGCCACAAAACTGTTAAGCGTTGCCATTCCCTCTCTGACCCAATTAAGAGAGCTGGTTGAAAAGCTTTGCAATTTTTCATTTTGATGGGGAAAACCTACGTTTTATTTCAAGCTGATCCAACCTCAAATTTCCCCACTCGTTCTCCAGTTCAGTGGCCAAACCAAAAATCAATTACCCAGGGCAAATATGGCTATGCTCCCAGCACCCCGCTGACGGCTTGAGAAACCCACTGGCACAGCGTGTCTCCATCCCCCTCTAGTGACAGACCCATACAGAGGACCATGGCCCTGCGTGAGCGCCAGCTGCCCACAAACCCAGCAACCCCGTGGGAGGGCCACGCATCATTCCCCATCACAAAAATTCAAAGGAACAACTCATTTTGTTTTTAAGGCGGAGGAAAACACTACAAAAACGCTATGGGCAGTTCTAATACAGGACAGGCTTTGTTTACCAAGTGGGCTACTCTCTGATATTTCTCCCCCCAGATTGTTTAGGGCAGATCTTATTATTTACTGCACACTATCTAAATCATGTTCTGGATACAGCATACTTCATTAGTTCTGGAAGCATTGAATGATATTAATTCTTGGCAAACATTAATTAAGTATCCACCCAAGAGCCCTATGGGGTAAGAAGGCGTTAATTACAGAACAGAGCCAAACCTGTCACCTGATCTCGTCTCTTCAGAAACCACTGAACAAAACAGATGTGTATGGTGTTTTTGTAGTTGTCATAGTTCTCCTATGCACCGCTGGACAGCAAGGACAATATCCAGTTTTCTTAGATTGGCAGTAATCTGCCTTTTGCTTGAGAGAGACCATCCTCTCTTCCAACCGTCTCCGCCTTGCTGGCTTTATAACTGGTCGTTTTGAGCTTAAATGAGCCTGGATTCCTACTGGAAACATTCCTGCCTAAATGCTTCACCCCTTCTCTCAGTTCATACGTCTTTTTAACGGACTGAAAAAAAGCAAGAGGTGGCAAGAGGAGAAGGTATGATCATGTATTTAAGGAATGCATCACAGTGTGCAAGCACACAGCGGTGAAGTTAAGGTTGCAAAGGGAACTGTAATTCTCACAGGTTACCCACGAGACTCTGCCACTGAAATATTTTCATCTACTTATTGTGTAATGCTAACTGCTGCATCCAAAATAATAATAAAATACGGAATAAAAATAAGTCATAGCCTATTCACATCTAGTTACAATTATGTCCAATAACCCAAGGACCCTAATAGACTCTCCTGTAAAAACTGCAATGGCCAAGGTGGGCGTCACATATTAAAACTTCAAACTCAAAATCTCCTTCTAGCGTCAAAGTTACAAACTTAAAATACTGGTATTTACAATATTCTTTACAAACTCTGAGAAATATTACCTTTGGAAAACCCCAACTTTTGTGTAACAGTTCTTGCAATTTTAGATGTTGTTGCATCACTGTACAGATACACTTCATCCACACTGTGCCAGTCCACATGGTTGCGACTCAACTTTAGACTATGAATAGCTGCAGCAAAAAGGAACAACATTTAATTTACATGGGTAAGAGGGGAAAAAAAAAAAAAAAAAAAAAAAAAAAAAAAAAGCCTCTTCAAACACAGAGAGAGAAGAGCGATTTACACATAGGTTAAAATCTAGAGCTCCATTATACCTAAATCCGGACTACTTCTTACCTTGAAAAGATTTTTTACATTTAGGATTAACCTGACCAGGACAAGCAGCAGTTTGAAGACCACCTCTGAGGACATTTCACATCATTCTCCCCCTGTTCTCATTTTGGGATGGTAGGTTTCCACAATATTCCCTTAGCTGAAATCAAAAAAAGGTGGTGGGGGGGAGCAGGGCAACGCATCCTGAAATACTGCAGGTTGGTGGGATGACCAGGTGGCTGCCCCATGCACTCTCATCACTAGAAAAAGCACAATCTCACTCCTATCTTCTCTCTCCTGGGTCGGTACAGTGAGATCCCTGATATTGACTGTACGCTGCAGTAGCACAGAGGCTTTCAAGGCTCCATTACTAGAAGGCTCCATTGCATTTCTATCCTTTCAGAAATATCTAGGAGCTGGAAAGGCAGTTCAATGAGAAAGCTTCTGAATGAGTAATTTCTGGCACAGAACAGAATCTAGCTCTTTCAAAAGCCCCTAAGAGCTTTAGTGGTTTTTTGTGCTGTTATTGTGTTTTCCAGATTTGGAACTGATGGAGCTCTGGGACCAACCTCATGACACGCTGCCTGATTGTCGGGATTAAGCACAGCAGGCAGGCTACAACACAAGGCAGGAATCTCTCATCTAAGGCTTAGAGCTTGCTTGAGCAAGGCGACACCACAGCTGTATTACTAGCAATTCGGATTTCACCTAAGTTTGGAAATCCGCTGCTTAGGTCTCATCTAACGTGGGATACACAACATTTGGAGAGCTGATAACAGCAATAGCCCCGTGACAAAAAAAGGGCTATTTAACTGTCATTGGCCTTACTAAAAAGTCCAAAGTCATGGAAAACACCCAGGGGGATTGTTTTGGGTTTTATTTTTTTCCTGTAACAAGCAGAGCTCTAACCTGTCCCCTCCTTGAAACCACTCAAATGAATTTTTTATACTCTTCAAAAAACATTCTGAGAAAGCCTGAGCCATCACGATGCCATATTTTAACTCTGCTACAGGACAAACCAGCCATGTTAAGCCAGATGTTGTGACCTTTCTCCAGTACTATTTTTTGTTTCTTTGCCAACGCAGATAGACCTAACATAGTCTGATGAAAAACTAAATGAAGACTCTAAGAAAGAAGGGGATTAGGAAAGGATTACCCCTTCTGTTACAGTAAACGACCGATTCACAAAAAATAATTAGAACTATATTGCTGTTTTACACTGGCAGAGCAAGAACAGAAAGGAAGTAAGCCTGACTTTGACAAGCAGACATGTCAGCTTAGGCTAACAACTGGCCACAGCAAGAAGCAATCTAGTGAGAACTCAATGACCATGCAGACTGATTTTTCATAAACTTCCCTGCAGGCACAGAGATGAGTCCATGTCCAGAAATCTCAATTTAGAACTGGAGAAGGAGAGGAAATTCCCAGCAAAACTTCCTCTTTCAGACTTGGAGACAATGCAACTGAGACCGTGATGTCCTGAGACAGGCACGTAGTGTAGTGGCAAAGGCAAGGGATCTCCTTGCAGATGTCTCTGCAATCTCCTCCATCCTCAAATCCATGACCAATGTAGACTTTTTATGCATTCCCTAGCAGGTCTTTAAGAGCTGTTCCACCTGCATTCTGCAAAATCCCTCTCAGAGTATGCTCCTGGGAAAGCTGAGAGAGGGCTGGAAGTTCTCTCTTTGGAGAGTGTGGTGTTCAAGGTCCAAAGCATGCAGAGAAGACATGGAGAGGTCCATGGCTCAGTCACTTTTTACCACTGGAAGAACAGAATTTGGGGAGGAATAACCCTCAAACTCTTTCTGGAATCAAGTCCAGCCTCTCTATTGGAAAAAAAATATACAGAAAGAGGTAGATTTTCCCCATGCTGCATGAATTATTCTCACTTGGGAAGAGCAAATTCATAAATTTTACTCTTACGGTGCTCTTCAAAACCAGGTATGTTGAAGGACACATCAAAATCAACAAGACATGCATGCACTGAGAAACTGCAAACGAAACACAAAACACTGTTTCTCTGCAAATTTAGTAGGCCTTCAAGCCTTCAAAAGGGAACCTGAAAAATTTGGTCTGCTGTTAACATAAGCACCACTTGTCCACACTGCTTCCTTGTCCCTTGACAACAGAGTAACTTACCTGTTAACATACACATTGCATTCAAGCTCAGATATATTTCTTTACAGCACTTAGACTATACACCCTTCCTTTATACCCAGCACCAGAAAAAAAGAAAAAAAAAAAAAGGAGAAAAAAGTGTGTGTGTTTGTTCTTGCTTCTTGGTTTTCCTTCAATCAGAAAATATCAGGAGTTTTTAGGGAAGTGGCAGGATCCAGAACATGTATATGGACAATGATTTTCAGAGAATCTACCAATTTGCCAGTAAGATGATAAATATTGCAATTCTAATTGATAGATTTACATTTTATTTTGTATCTCAGTAAATTTTGTTTACCGACACATCCACTGCTTTGCTTTTGTGTGCCTGTCCCTGTGCGCACTCCAAACCAGCAGCAGGGAGACTCAGTCACTGAAAAACAGTGGCTGCAGGACATTTCAAAGGCACCATGCACTCCAGTGCAATATTTTGGATAACACTTCCACGTTGTCTACCTTACCAACCAGGAGTAGACACGTTCCTTTAAAAGTTAACAAGAGTCACCTGGGTCAAAACAAACTAAGCTGGGTGCTCTCCCTGGGCACTCTGCTTTGAAATCCCATGGGATGCACTGTTTAAAAAGTCTGCCTAAGGCTCAGTGCACCCATTCCACAGACCAACCCACCCTCTTACCGAGGTGGGGTGAGATTTTAATTTGTATAAACATTGGGATGTCTATTCATCCTCAAACCCTGAGTAGGTTCCACCAGTGGAACAAAAAAAACCCTAATAAGGGAAAATCTATCACCTTGAGCTCCAGGCCCTCTCGGCATGCAAAAACACCCCTTCAGAATAGGAGTGACAGCCCACTGTGCTTGTGTGCTCTCTATCCTTACATAAGCATCTGTCCCAGTGATGACCACATCTGGGGAGAGGAAAATGGTACATCCTTGCAGATTTGCATGGCAGAAACATGGGACATGGCTTAGTGGTTGGATGGCAGTGTTAGGTTAACGGTTGGACTTGATGATCTTAAAATCTTTTCCGACCTAAACAATTCTATGAAACCCAACTGAGAGAAGAGCTGGCCTAGCTGAGCTCAGTCACGGGGATAAATGATCTACACGCCACACGTGCATGCATATCTAGGCAGAGATGGTGGCTCTCTGTCATTACGCACAGGAGAGACTCTTGAGATTAAAAAAAACCTGTGATAAGGTAACTCTTCATGAGGGCCAACACTGTACTGAGGACTGTGAAGAGATTCTCAAGACGCTCAAGAGCCCAACCAAAAGGAACTTCTGCTGCTGAAAATCCTGGGGTGTGAGGCAGAGAACAAAAAAGAGTATCTTTGGAGAGGATTTGATAGCAGTCTTAAAATAAGCATCTGAAAAAAAAAAATAAGATATGCAAACTGTGCTTTCCAGGTATGGGATAACAAGGGCTGCCATTGCTGTTTTGAAGCTGAAAACAAGGAAAAGAAAGTTATCTTTTCCTGAAGATGACGAGATAACATGATTTACATTCTCTTTTCAGAAAAAGCAGTGACTGTCCTATAAACCTCTTGCATGCTGCAGAGGTGGTCAGACTGACAGCTCAGGAGCTGTTCACACCAAGAGATGTCACAGAGTGTCAGGAAATCACCGAGGCATGTCGTAGCGTGGCTGAGGAAGCCCCGTCGCAGAATTCAGATTGGGCAGTGGGTACGGCACAGGGGAATGCTCTTCATGTTCATTCCTCTGCCTTCTGGGTCCTTCAGGACCACACTTTTTGTATTTGTGGATTCTCTCCAGGGCACCAGGCTAGGACATTGCTGAGCTTCACTGAGATCTGACTGCGGCTACAGCATCTCTGAATGGCAGGCACAGAAGATGAAGGGTCTCCTGTAAAACCATGGGACAGGCATCTCCCTGTGGATCAGACTTCTTCCAGCTTTTTTTTCCACATGAACTACTTCTCTGACACGGACAACATGCACAGCTTTCTTAGCAGGTATCTCCATAGCTGCATCTTCCCCAGTTGCAGAAAACCCTATGTATTCTGCGTACTGCTTAGTTTTCTAGTTTGGGATTAATGGCCAAGCCCATAGAAATGAGACCAAGTTTTGGTTTCCTTTGTAGCCAGAAACTAGAAATGAAAACATTTTTCAGGAACACCAACCACGACAGACACCTATAGTATGAGTACGTGGAAGGCACAACCCCACCGAAGGTGGAAGACAGCCCGACACTAGACAGTAGTGAGCAAGCCATGCAAAAATAAGGAGAAAAGCATAGGGGAAGTGAGAGGGATCAAGAAAGGACTTCTTTCAGCTGAAGAAATCAACAGCTACTATCACGCAAACCTTGAGTTCCACCAATACAGATGAACACAGAGGGAAAAATCCCTCTAAAAAGTGTAAATATGAAATATGAAGAGGTAAACATAACATATAGAATACATATTCCTAAAGCCTTGAAGAACCTGATCTCAATTAGACTCATCTTGAGTCAAAATAACTGGAGAATAACTGAGGAGCAGAAAGCCTGCAGTACTTTTTATGCTCATAGCACAAAACCCATGGAGAAGTTGGGGAGGTGCATGCTGCACGTGCACTGCTAGTGCAAACATCCTCCCAGCCCGAGTGCCTGAGGAGTTGAACGCCTCCGGGACTACGTGCAGACAGACAGGCACTTCAACATGACATTTCACAGGGCCAACAAGTTTAAAATTAAATACCTTTTAAGATAAGCACCTGGTTTTTACTTAATACTT